GAGGAGTCCTTCCTGTCTAAGTGGTCTACTCCCCCCGCGGTGGATCCGCCGGTTTCTCGCCTGAACAAGGCTACGGTCATCCCGGTGGAGGATTCGCCTTCCTTTCGGGATCCCTCGGATAGGAAGGCGGAGGCGGTGGCGCGTACTATGTACTCGGTTTCCGGGGCTCTGCTGCGCCCCGTGTTGGCTTCGGCCCTGGCCTCCCAGACTTTAACTGAGTGGATGAAGATGCTGCGTCAGGGTCTTGCGGAGGAGAACGTGTCTCCTGCTTATGTCGATCTGACGGAGCAGGTGGTGCAGGGTCTGCAATACTTGTGTAATTCGGCCCTGGATGCGACCCCGTTGGTTTCGAAGCTATCTGTGTCAGCGGTTACTCTTCGGCGCCTCCTCGGCTTAAATGCTGGTCGGCTGACCAGGCTTCCAAGAAGGCTCTGACGGAGCTCCCCTTTACGGGGGAGCGCCTGTTCGGGGCTACCTTGGATGAGATCATTAAGGCGCCAACCAACCAATTGGATCATTAAGGTCCAATTGGCGCCAACCAACATTGTAGAAACCTGCACATGCAATTAAACCGTTAACCCTTATTAGTTCTGTGTTAAGCTGCTTTTAACTGGGCTAGGGCTGGAATACCGCAAGGCAACCTAGGAGAGAGCAGGTGTCCAGGGGGCCTGACTGCAGCCTCTTGAGTATCAACTATGTTACTTCAGTGTCATCAGAAGGGAATCCCTTCCTATGATGATTTCCAGTTTAAAAATGAAATGAAAACATTCTGCATGACCTGTCTTCTTGTGTGACCTTTATTAAAGCCAAGTGGCAAATTCTTTCATTATTAGAGCAACTTCTCTTTTAACTGACGAGTTGCAACAAGCAAACATCTTTGTTTTTATGAGTTCTGTGACAAATGTTGAAAGTGTATATTTTGTTTTAGGTTCCTTCGATCCCTGGGTTTTCCTGGATAAAACCGTGCCTTTCCACAGCGGATATCGTATATATTGGTTTGCGTGATCTTGATGCTGCTGAACAGTAAGTTTAATAGTAGTTAATAGGGATGCACCGATACCGGTATTTCAGTATCGAGTATGAGTACCGATATTTCTTTTCCCAGTACTTGCCGATACCCGAAGTCGCAATAAGGAAGCCAGGCGGCGTGTAATGACTCGCCACCTGGCTTCCTGATTAGCCGGGAAACCGTCCCCATGCTTCTCGTCACTATTTGATGAGAAAGCTTTGAGCCAGCTTTCTGGCCAATCAGGAAGCCAGGGGCCGTGTAATGAAGCGGAGCCCGGCTTCCTGATTGGCCGGGAAACCGGCTCCATGCCCCCTTATCATGAGGTGACGAGGGAGCATAAAGCCGGCTTCCCGGCCAATTTGAAAGCCGGGCGCCCTGTCATTACACAGCGCCCGGCTTCTTGATTGGACAACTTGCCGAGCAATCTGGAAGCCGGGCAGCAAGTCATTACACGCTGCCCGGCTTCTTGATTGGACGGGAAGCCGGCTCCATGCTCCCTCGTCACAAGCTGTATGTAATTAAACTGTGCTCACTGCTGCTGGGGACACCACCAGGGACATTTGTTTCCCTGGGACAGACCTCTCAAAATGGGGACTGTCCCGGGAAATGGGGACTAATGGTAAAGCTATACATCTAAAAATATTTCATGCTAATTTAATAGCTTGTAAAATACTCTGAGACTGCATTAAAGTAAAGTTAATTGGTCACTGAGAAAAGCAGGTCAAATGCTGTGTAGGGGAAACAGATCTTTACTGGAACTAACAAGTGAGACTCTAAACAAATGTGTGTACTGCCTATTGTATGCATATGTCATCTCGGATTAATATGATGAACTTGCCATTTCAGATTTATTCTAAAGAAATATAACATCACATACTATTCAATGAGGCAAATTGATCGCCTTGGAATACAGAAAGTTATGGAAAGATCATTTGAGCAGCTATTGGGAAGGTATGTTTTTAAATAATGATGTACCTATATATACACTTTGGCTAAGAAATATACTGTATAGTCACATTCGAAGTCTTAAAAAATTGTGTAGTACATGTAGCACCTCCCTAAAAAAGGCATGTGAGGGACCCCAGAGGCAGGGTGGGCTATAATTTAACCTCAGGGACAAGTCCTTAATCGATGCTGGGATGTGGATGAAGAAATGGGCGCCATTCACTTTAAGGGTTTTCAAAGATTTTATTCCTCCTACAGCTCACTTGGGAGAGAGGGTAAAAGGCTACAGACACATAGGAGAGTACAGACTCCAGACTTACCGACCACTTCCCAGCTTCACAGTGCAGACAGCCTTTAAACTGATTGCGTTGACACTGTGAATTGTAGACCCTTAGCTGGTTAGCAGACATAGCACAGAACTCTCAGGAAGTCTGGTGTCTCGACCAGAGAGGTCCAAGCTTCTCCAGCACCTTTAGCAGACAAAATTGCTCCCTAGTTCTCCTTGCCAGGCACAGCTTCCTCCTTCACTAGCAGGACAGCTTCAGACTCCAACTGGGTCTCCATCCCTGGCCACCTGCAGGCTGCAGGCCTGGTTAGACAGCACTTCACATCACACACCCTCCCCCCGGCAGGGGTCCGGGGGGGAAAGAGACATTCACAAGGTCAGCCCCAAAAATGTATGTCTTTCCCCAGCATGCACCACCAACCATGAACCTCCTAGTGATTGGCTAGGGAGACACACCTATTCATAATGTACCATTATTAGATGTTCTGTTCTGTTTCAAGGTCACACCCATCAGCAGGTCAGATACAAATGAAGTAGGGGAAATAAAATGAGCACAGACTATCAAATCAGCTTAATCTGGCTACAGTCCAGCATACCAAGCATTAGGAGTCGCCCCACTTAAGGCAAGTTGGCTACATACAAATAGTGGTAAATGGATTAATAACATCAGCCACATATTGGGCAGATTCCTATAATTACATAGTTAGGTTGAAAAAAGACACATGTCCACACATCAAATGTATCCCAAAATGTTTTTTAAATACATGTAGAGCCACCACACTCTAATTGTAAAGTATATTCCCAGGTGCTTATCCACACAGAAATATCCATATAAATGCAAAGTAGGTTGTTGTTCATCTGAGGTTGTTTTTACCTGATTTTAAGAGATTTTTTTATTATCCCCTGATACTTGAAACCATAGAATTCAAAAGGGTGTACTTTTTTTTCACACAACTGTATTATACAAAATGTAAATGTGAGCAAAGATTTAAATCCAGTGAGAAGAAAAGCTTAAAAGTCTATATGTGCTCCCACATAACTGATAAAGTGTTTCAAGGGCTTCATTGAATAGACTTCACACGTGCCGATGTCTCCACAATCCACTCGCTAAACACGATGGGCCATATATATTTAATGGTCAGATATAGCTCCCAAATAGGATTACTCCACAGAAAAAAAAAAGGATGATATTACAAAATGAAACCAAGTAGATTTTTAGGCTGGATATCATACAACCTAGAGGTCTTATTATAGGGTTGGGCTTAAAATGTTTTTTGAATAATGAGTAAAACTGTTAAACATTTTTTACATAATAGATATACACAGTGATATCCCCTATATATACCCCTATGTGATAGCAATAAAGTTGAGTGTACAAAAAAAATCATAGAAATTGTAAAAATCAAAGTAACAGATAAAAAAAATAAAAAGTGCAATTTTTTTAAAGTCCCCTGCCCCCC